AAAAAAAGAAGGCTTTGTCAACCCTCCTAGTCCATCAGCCACTGATAAGGGCTAGTTTCAGAAGAGGTGGCAATGTTAGTCTGTGCAAGCATATCAGGCAAAATCCAAAGAAAGAAGACAAGACAAAAACATGTAGCACCTTAAAGACTATTTTATTTTAATGTGAGCTTTCATGGACAAGTCCACTTCCTCAGACATACCAATACACAAGTAAAATAGGCTAAAGAGCCAATTAATATTTAATATGTTTTACTTGCATATTGGTATTTCATCCAGCATTTCATTTTTTCCATATGGCTGACAAAGTGGACTTGTGCATGAAAGCTCACATTATGTATAAGAGCTAGTCTTTAAGGTGCCACATGTTGTTGACTGTTTTGTTTGTTTCTTTGGATTTTGCCTGATAATGCCTAGACTCAGAGGCAGAGATCCATGGTGCCATGCAGCAGAATGATCAAGGAGGCCACTGAAAACCACAGGGCTGGCTTACCACATTTTCAAGTGAAGTTATAATAAAGGAAATAATATTTCAAAATTGTGAAAAAGTAAAGTAGTACCCATTTTTATTAGGTGTGAATATTATTTACTAGGAGGGGGATCCTCAGATGACACCAAACCTGGAGTGGTAGCTAATATATCATAAGACAAAATCAGAATTCAGAATGACCTTAACAGGTTGGAGAGCTGGGCAAAACCAAACAAAATGTATTTCAAGGGGATAAAATGTGAAGTTTTGCATTTAGGCAGGAAAAATTACTTGCCTTCACAGTAGTAATTTGAACAAGACCCAGGGGTCTTAGTAGACCACAAGCTAAACATGAGTCAATAGTGTGGTGCAGTAGCAATAAACGCTAAGCATGTTTCTAGGCAACATCAGCAGAAGTATAGTGTCCAGATTAAGGAAAGTAATAGCACCCTTCTGTTCTGCTCTGCCAGACCTCACCTGGAATTCTGGATATTGACAAGCTAGAATATGTCCAGCGGAGGGATAAAAGATCGAGAAACCAAGGCCTGTGAGGTGTGGTTATTTTGGGCCTGGAGGCAAAAACACAGAGATACGATAGTCATCTTCAGCTTCCACATCTGTCATGTGGAAGATGGAGCAAGCTTTCTTTCCATATCTTAAAAGTAATGGATTCAAATTATTAAAAAAGGAGATTTCAATTAATGTTAGAAACAACCTCTTGGCAGAGAAGAGCTGCTTGACAGTGGAATGGACTGCCTCAAGTGATGGTGGACTCTCCTTAGCTGGAACCCTTTTTAGTGAGATGTCCACTTATCTGGGGTGCATTTAGCTGTTGATGTCCTGCTTCAGTAAGGGTTTGAACTGGGAGGCAGTGGAAGACAGGAGGGCCTGGCGTGCTCTGGTCCATGGGGTCACAAAGAGTCAGTTACGACTTAACGACTAAACAACAACACACACAAAAGAGAAAAGAAGAAGAAAAGCCTTCTGGTCTTTGTACACAATCCAAAGGCAAGGGTGGATTAAATTTATTAGATTACAAAAAAATCATAAACATAAGCTAGTTTTCAACCCCACATGGATCATCGTCAGGCAGGGCACCACAGAGCACTGCAAGATACAGAAAAAATATGCAAGTTCAGCTTGACAAAGAGTTGTACAGTGTTGAAAGCTAGCTAATGCTTATGGTTTTTAGTAATCTAAGTATTACCCACCCTTGCCTTCATATTGTGTACATGGACCACATGGCTTCACCACCATCACCCAGTCTTTTAGTAGAACCAGCATTCTGTGGCTACTGAGTACATTGAGTCTGCACTGGATTCCCCACACACACACACACACTTTAAGGTGTCTCTTTTACCTTTCTTTTTAAAAAGTTGTGGAAATCTTGAACTTCCCCTAAGCCTGTTGAAACCTCCCTGTTGTATGCAGATAATGCTGCTTTGGATACACAAGAAACAATGATGCCCTAGCAATGGAATATACTATATGCAGAGAATAATAGGGGGTAGAAGCATCTACTGATGTATAGACAAATAAACATATACCACAGGCCAATCTCAGTGAGAGGAATGTTCCACAGTCACGCTGACAGAGTGAAAAGGAAGTGTGTCTCCTTATTGCGCAATTTAATCCTGATGCCATCAGAACATGGACAAGGATGTCATAGAATGTAATGCCCAGGCAGGTTCATTTCAGCACATTTGATTCAAAATGACTGTATTTCTTTAATATTGACAAAATGGTTCTATAAACTCAAAAGCAGTTGGCTGTGGAAATGTACTATTATCTCCTTGCATACTAGACACTGATTGTGGGTTTTTAATAGGACTGCACTGTGGAAGAATTACATATACCAGACAGAAGGATGTTGGCCCCAGTGCAGGGATCTAGCAGTGATAATTAATGTTTGAGTGTTCACATTCTGTGTGAATAAGGCTCTTGTGACCTTGGAAGGCCAGCATCACATCTTAATATGCTGTTATTCCACTTGGCCATGTTCCCACACTCCCATCTCCAAACCATGAACACTATGTACAAATGAGTGGCCTAGCTCTTGTGCTTCCAGTGTTTGAAGAAGTCAATTGTATTCCATGAAAACTCACACTGATGTAAATTTGTTCAACTTAAAGGTCAGCAATACTTTTGCTTCTGTTTTCTTTTTGGTTTTGTGGCATTTGAAACAAATTCATATGACTACCTCTCTGAAAATTGTTTCATTTACTTGGAATTCATTTGTCTCAAACATACAGAACTCCCTCTCTTCTTTCCCTGTTAGAGGAACCTTATGATCATTTTTTCTTTCTCTGTTTTGGTAACTTTGGCAGGTGAATATGCCAGACAGTTGGAAGAGAAAGAAGTACTCATAAACCAATTTTCCCGAGGAAAGTTGTCCTTCACTCAACAAATAGAGGAACTTAAAAGGCAGCTTGAAGAAGAGACCAAGGTAAATAAACACTTTGATTACAACTAGCATGATTCTGGGTCAGCTTGAAAGGACTACCGTGTTTCCTCAAAAATAAGACAGGGTCTTATATTAATTTTTGCTCCAAAAACACATTAGGGCTTATTTTCAGGAGATGTTTTATTTTATTTTTTTCATGCACAACAGTCTACATTTATTCACATACAGACATGCCATCTTCTGGTGGCTGCACAATGGTGGAGGGCAGGGTTTCACTTAACTGGGGCTTATTTTGGGAGTCGGGCTTATATTACGAGCATCCTAAAAAATCATACTAGGGCTTATTTTCAGTTTAGGTCTTATTTTCAGGGAAACAGGGTACTTTGTCTTAAGATTGTGTCCTTAAGCTGCCATAGAACTGTATTAGAAAGCAAGTGAACTGACAAGATGGGAGGCTTGACTTAGTCTGTAAGTATCACTAAAATACAGAATATAAAGGATTATAGAATTGATAAGAGATTACAATAGGACTAAAAAGTCTACTAGGATTATAAAACAATTTTGACCAGAGATTAGAAATATATTTTGGGACTATAACTCCCAAAATTCCTCAGCCAGCAGAAGTGGCATTCACAGTCTTATTCAGAGGCTGGAAAGGGGCATGATTGCCATGAAGGATTCAGAGAGCTCATGTGATATAGCAGATTAGAACAGCGGAAATGGTAATGGTGCTTGGAAATGGGAAGTCAAGCACCATTGCTTCCTTGCTCATTCTTGCCATAGCCTGTGGCTACCTTGTGCTTAATGGTATGTGCTCAACACTGCCCTCTTTTTCTATCCTCCAGTCCAAGAATGCTTTGGCTCATGCCCTCCAAGCTGCCCGCCATGACTGTGACCTGTTGCGTGAACAGTATGAGGAGGAACAAGAGTCGAAGGCCGAGCTGCAGAGGGCCCTCTCCAAGGGGAATGCTGAAGTGGCACAGTGGAGAACTAAATATGAAACGGATGCAATCCAAAGAACTGAAGAACTAGAAGATGCCAAGTAAGATAGCCTTTCCCCACCCTTACAGATACCGTTGAGAAACTGGTAGTCAGTGTGATAAAATAGATATAGCAACAGACTAGGGTTTAGGAGACCTGGATTAAATCCCCACTCTTGCATCCTTTGAAAACCTTGTTAAGGTCAGCATAAGTCAGAGATGACATGATAGCACATTATGTAACCAGATAAGAATGATTCCTGAATGCATTGTTATCATTCAGATCTGGAATTTTTGGAGGTCTTGATTGTAAACTCTTGCTTAGCTAATTCTTTCACAAGAGGAAAACAAAAAACAAAAAATATTTATTTCTTTTTCCACAAAATGTCCTGTCATCCTTAGCAAGAGGGTTTTTTTTTCACTTGAGAGCATGATTTTGTGCAAATAACACCAACAATTAAAATTCCACAGAAATGTGATATTTGTTGCCTTGTTACTTTTAAAAATTAGAAGCATCTGACAAATGGTTTGCATTTTTTCAAAATCAGCCGGCTGGTCTTTTTGTGCTAGCTATATGTGTATAGGGCTGGCTTCACCAAGAAAGGAAACTAATTTTGCATAGAGATATTCTGCACATATTTTAGAAACATCAAGACAATAAAAGCCCTTGTCTCATTCTCAAATTGGAAGGCTGAATCTTATAAGGCCTGAAAATTCCTCATCAAGGCATCTTGTCATGTTGAGAAAGCTAAACTGATGAGAACAAGGAAGTTACTGAGTTTTCTTCACATCTGTAGTCCAGATTGTGTCCTCCCTCTTAAAACCCTCCCACTCCTTTTCCACCCTTCACTCTGTCCCACCCTACCAGAAGAATCAAAATAAGGAACAGGAGCACAGTGCCCTATGTTTGGTAACTTAGGAGCTGTCCAATTTCTCTTCATCTCAGTTTTGACCACCTAGGGCTTTTCTACACAGTGTGAAAGGAGGGGGCTGGGCCATGCAAAATAGTGTCCCTAGGATGATGGGTATACCATCGGGTGCATTCTTGACATCCAAATAACATGAGGGACCACAAGCGAACAGAGCCTTTGTCAATACCATGAAGTGGCTTATTTGGCTCTGTAGAGGAGCTGAGGAAATAAAAAATATATCTTTTAAAAAATGTGTTTTAGGGCAGCAGTTTGGCTACACGGAGGCAAAGAAAAGCTTCTGGGAGAAAGCTTTCTATTTGTCATCATCTTTTTCTCTTTTTTTAAAGTGGTGCAGTGAATATTCACTATCCTAATACACCTTTAAAAAAATCTCTTTGCTTTTTTGCTTCCTCAGCCCCCTCCAGAGAACTAAGAAAATGATTAATTTACCAGTATCTTATTAAATATCTTATTAAGCCACTTCACAATAATGGCAAGTTAGAGAAAAGTGTGCTTTTGATCCACTTCTGGCTATCACATGTGCTGGAAACAGGTAAAAACAGAGCAATCACCAAAAAGTAGAAGCTTCTGCCAGGGGCTATAAAAGGTGCCGCTAGGACTGTTCTCGTGGTAGGCTGGTTCACTCTAGCAAAGATGTGGTCTGAAAACCATTTCATCCCTGCAGTAAACCAAACAGCAGGCTAAAGGTTTGTGTAGTCAGCCTCCTAGTTCCTGTTTCCTGCCTTTCATTATAAAAGTTCAATATATAACATTATTAAAGAACCGATCACTGGATTTGTTATTTTTCTAACATCCCTCACCCTTTTCCCTCATTTTGTGCAATATCATTCTTAAATTGTAAGGCTCTTTTTTAAGCTATAAACTGTCATCTTTGACAGAAAAGCAGAACTGGTTGCTAAATGAAAGCGGCATTGCTTTCAATGTTGACAATAATTGCCAATGTCTCTCTGACTCCATATCATAATACATGTCTCTCTCCTCTTAGGAAAAAGTTGGCAGCTCGTCTCCAAGAGGCTGAGGAAGCCATTGAGGCAGCCAACGCCAAATGCTCTTCCCTGGAGAAGACAAAACATCGGCTGCAAAATGAGCTGGAGGACATGGTGATTGATCTGGAAAAAGCCAACTCAGCAGCAGCAGCTCTAGACAAGAAACAGCGTAATTTTGACAGGATCATTGCTGAGTGGAAACAGAAGTATGAAGAGTCCCAAGCAGAGCTTGAAGGTGCCCAGAAGGAAGCCCGAAGCCTTAGCACAGAGTTGTTTAAGCTGAAGAATGCATATGAAGAGAGCCTGGACAACCTGGAGACCATCAAAAGGGAAAACAAGAATCTCCAAGGTAGGTCATGTGATCTTGATAGATGGAGTGATGAAGCAAGTTAAGCTGAAGTTAGAAAAAGAGCGACTTAGGATTTAGGTTCAGCACTACATTAGATGCTTGGTGAGAATATGCTTTTATCATGAAATCCTTTTGATCTGAAATTAGGAAGAGCCACTGGTGCCAGGCCCCTTTCTTCATTAGAGAGAGAATCTAGCTTTCTTCAGTAAAATAGCTAGTATCAGACCTTCTTGCTCTCTCACATATGTACAGACCATGGGCTATATAACATATGAAGTCATGTGTTTTCTTCCCTTTTTTGGCTGTATTTTTTGTTGATGTGAGTGCATAATCTTGTGGGTGTATTATCTTGTTTTAGGAAGAAAAGGTGTACATAAACAATAGAGCTAAAAGCAAACATGCCAATCTCTTTTCTTCCAGTACTAACAGCGTTTTTGACTGGGAAGAAAAAACCCCTGAAGTGTAGAGGGTTCAGGCAGAGTAGTTACAGTTGTTTTTACCTTCATGCATCCCTTTGAATGTCAAATAAAATCTCCATAGCCACCGCTTTGTATGTTAATGGTGCAGGAATATGAAGTAGCAAACATGAATGTCTGTAGCGCTCTTCGGTCTTGAAAGAAACAAGTAGCGCCCCCATGCATCCCATGCCATTGTCATATGTAAAATAGAAACAGAATAATCTGAACAGAGAAAGGCTATTCTAGCCAAGTGGCCTCTCCACATTCATTCATTCATATGCCACATTTCTCTCCATATTAGACCCAAGGCAGCTCACAACAATTAATAGTATACAATGATAACATGTTTAAAATACTATACAAAACTATATTAAAAATTAAACATTAATCAAGATTAAAAACAAGATTAAAAACAATCTTAAACACATTTTTAAAAACCATTTAAAAATATCTAAACTTTGGAAATACAGTGTTCTCTAGATACCCACTTATTGCTCAGACACCTTCTTGAAAAGGTACCAAAGGATTTAGGGATGGTGGTGTCTCATGTGGAGAGGCTACTTAAGTACAGCAGTCTCTTTTTATTAATTAATTAATTGAATTTCTACCCCGCCCATCTAGACCAAAGTCTTCTCTGGGCGGCTAACAATAATAGATAAAATAAAAAAAATACAATACAATAAAAAAAACAACAGTAGTTATATACGTAGTTAAAGATGGGGAAATATTCAAGGGATGACAGGAGGGAAAGCCTGCCTAAGGAGCCAGGTCTTGAGTTTATTCTTTAAAAAACCCAACGAGGGAGCCAGACAGATCTCTGGGGGCAGACTGTGCCAAAGGCAAGGGGCCACTGCCGAGAAGGCCTGATTTCTTGTTCTTTCTATCCGGGCCTCCCTTAGCGTTAGGCCCCCTCAGCCACCCTTCCTGGCTAGAATGAGTGCTTTGGGAAAGCCTGCCTAAGGAGCCAGGTCTTGAGTTTATTCTTTAAAAAACCCAACGAGGGAGCCAGACAGATCTCTGGGGGCAGACTGTGCCAAAGGCAAGGGGCCACTGCCGAGAAGGCCTGATTTCTTGTTCTTTCTATCCGGGCCTCCCTTAGCGTTAGGCCCCCTCAGCCACCCTTCCTGGCTAGAATGAGTGCTTTGGGTAGATCTAGGTGGGAGGAGGCGTTCCACTAGATATTGAAGTCCTAAACTGTTTAGGGCTTTATATGTCATCATTAACACTTTGAAATCAATGCAGAAATGAATGAGCAGGCAATGCAAGGCAGAGTGGGGGAAATATGCTGATATTTTATCATCTTATTGAGAAGTCTGGCCGCCAGATTCTGCACCATTTGAAGCTTCTGCATCAATCTTAAAGGTAGCCCCATATAGAGTGAGTTATAGTCATCTGATCTTGAGACTACAAGTGCATGGACCAGAGTGGTGAGTGCCCCAACATCAAGATAGGAACGCAGCTGCGCAATCCGCCACAGATGGAAATACGAGGAGCGGACTACTTATGCTACCTGCGTTTCCATGGTGACCGCCGGATCCAGATGGACCCAAAAGCTGCAAACCTCACTCTTCATGGTGAGAGTCACTCTCCCCAAAGAAAAGGAGTTTCCCAAACCACCGATGGAGGGGCCACCCACCCTCAGGACCTCTGTTCAGCCTCAGCCCATTCTCCTGCATCCATTGCAGTACAGCCTCCAGGCAGCGCTGAAGGGACAGAATAGCATCCACTGTGGTTGGAGAAAAGGAGATGTAGAGCTGGGTGTCATCAGTGTACTGATGGCACAGCCCCACACCCACTGATGACCCCACCCAGTGGCCTCATGTGGATATTAAACAGCATCGGGGAGATAATCGAGCCCTGCAGAACCCCACAATTGAGATTCCACAGGGCCGAAACACACTCCTCAAGCTATACACTCTGAGGTTGATCCTCCAAGAAGGATCGGAGCAAGGCAAGCTCCAGACCACCAATTCCCAACGCAGAGAGCCTCCCCAGGAGGATACTGTGGCTGACGGTATTGAGGGCGGCTGACATATCGAGGAGGCCAGGAGGATACTGTGGTTGACAGTATTGAGGGCGGCTGACATATCGAGGAGAACCAACAAAGACATTCTGCCCCTGTCGGCCTCCCTCAGCAGGTCATCAAACAGGGTGACCAATGCTGTTTCCATACTGTGGTGTGGCCTGAAGCCCAACTGGAATGGATCCAGGGCATTGGTTTCATCCAAAAGAGCCTGAAGCTGGTCAGTCACCACCCTCTCTACCACTTTGCTGAGGAAAGAAGCCTAGAATTGTCAATGTTGTCCACCGGCAGACTAATGAGTGTCTCCTTGAGGGCAAGGGGAACCTTGTCCTCCTGGAGAGACCCATTAATTACTGCCATGGTCCATTTGCTGGAGAGACCCATTAATTACTGCCATGGTAATTATATAATTGGTTGTTATAGGCCTGGCTGCTACTTAGCCAGGCCAGGCAAGGGTCAAGGGAGTAGGTGGGAGCATGACAGTGGTCAAGCGCTTTGTCCACCATATCTGGCATCATAGGCTGAAAGAGATTGAGTCTCATCAGGCAAGGCAGAACACTGGACGTCTCTGCTCAATCTATTGTATTCAAAAAAGGAGAGAGAGCTCCCAGTGGATGGCCTCCACTTTAGATTTTAAAAATGTTGCAAATTGGTCAGGTGAAATACTAGTAGGAGGCCAATTCTGGATAGATTACGGACTATATGGAAAAGATCTGCCTGCTGATTTGAAGCTTCACTTATCCGGACAGCGAAGTAAGCTCGACTGGCAGCCCTCACCTTAGCCAGGTAGTGGTTAGTCACGATCCTGACAGCTTTCTGATTATATTCCATCAGGTTCCATCTCCAATTGCATTTTAGCCTTCTTCTAATTTGCTTCATTGCTCGCAGCTCCTGGTTAAACCAGGGTGCTGGCCGAGCTCTGCAATGGAGAGGGCGTTTAGGAGTGATCATGTCAACAGTCCTGGACCAGAGCCTTGACAGGAGGGCCAGTCAGATCAGCCGGAATCCCTCTCATGGAATCCTGGAATCCTATAGGATCCAGTAGCCTTTGAGGGTGGACCATTAAAATAGGTCTTTGCTCCCTGCGGGGAGGGAGAGCCACTAAGATATTACATTTTATTAGGTGGTGATCTGACCATGACAAGGGAACTAACACAAGGTCAGTTACCATCAGACCACATTAACTCTGCTCGGTGGAGAACATCAAGTTTAACGTGTGACCGCACACATGGGTGGGGCCATTAACATGTTGGGACATGTCCAAGGAAGCCATGGTTTCCAAGAACTCAAGAGACGGACCAGAAACCTCTGTCTCTGCATGGACGTTAAGTTAAAACTTAAAAAGAAAGGAATAAAAACAAGAACCACCACCCAAACCAACCCCCTGTCACACCCATAAAAAGAAAAAGTAAATAAGGAAAAAAATAAAGCAATGGAGAAAGAAAAAACAAAACAAACAACAACAAAAACAAATACACACACAACATTTCTCCCTCTGCCCATGCCACTCCCAAACCATGCCTAAGTGTTAGGTACTGCAAGGTCCAGACCCAGTTGTAATTGTCATAGGTAGAGGAAACCTTGAAATAGGCCAGCAGCTGCTTATAATAATTGTGGCCAAAAGCCAGGCCCATGTTGAGTTTGCTCAACTTTTAGATCTTAAGGGCTACCCTGTCATCATGGCTGACTGAGCCTCTCCTCCTTTCAGACTAAAATGCCTTTTTTAAACATTCCAGTTTGACAAAGGAGGGATAGGATAGCTCATTCCCTCAACCCATGTAAGTTCCACATACTTGTTTACTAATGACTGAATGGAGCTTATATTTCACCTTGTTTGGCTCCTTCTATTTCACCTGGATTAATATATTCCATAATATTGTATAGAAATATGCTAAGATAGTATACTCTGTCTTTTCTTCTTCCTCTAAGTATGTACGTTAATAATTGACTGAAATGCTGTTGGTTAACCACACTTGTGGAATGCAAACTGTGGCACTCAGTCATTTCCACTTGGCAATTAATGAGTTGCTGCTGGGATTCTCACTGGAACCCACACATGCTTGAGAATTCCAGCTGGGACTCTTTAGTTGATGATTAGTAAATACTGTTGCACCATTTGCCTTGTGCTGGCAAAGTTAAGCAACAGGATTTCAGCTATTGGCTTTTAGGTACTTTTCGTAACAACATAGAACTGCAATCATTCAAAAATATCTCATAACTTTAAAGTAGGTGTTTGAAGACAGGTGCAACTCAATGCATTTAGAGCCTACATTTCAGAGTTTCCAATCCTTACAGGCTTTAATGTGTTTTTAAAAACTTTTCAGAGGAAATTGCTGATCTAACTGACCAAATTAGTGAAGGAAACAAGAACCTTCATGAGATAGAGAAAATGAAGAAACAGATTGAACAAGAAAAGTCAGAAGTCCAGCTAGCCTTAGAAGAAGCTGAGGTAAGATAAACATGTGGGAGAAAGAACAAGCTTTCCCATCTCACTATATTTTTACACATGCAAAGATGCACACAGACACATACTAAAGCAAAGAAATGGATGTGTAAAGGCTACTTTATAGGCAGCTATGCCTTGCTTGGGGGTAGGGTCATGAAGGTTGAAACTACAAAGTATGATGTGTGTGTTTCCTTTTCCGTGAGCATATCAAATACAAATGCTGTTGGAATACAAATTTCAAAACATTTGAAGCAAAGTTTCTACTTTGAAAACTTTGTGGAGAGGTTTCAGCAATGCTTAGAAGTAACCAGATAGTTACTTAGGTGTAATCAGTAATACCTAATAACTTTCAACAGTTGCTCTTAATTGACATTTAAGGCAATCCAGGGACAATGTATTCACAAAGGCTTTCATGGCCAGGATCTAATGGTTGTTGTGGGTTTTTCGGGCTCTTTGGCCGTGTTCTGAAGGTTGTTCTTCCTAACGTTTCACCAGTCTGTGTCCTCTGAAGATGTCGGCCACAGAGACTGTTGAAACGTTAGGAAGAACAACCTTCAGAAGACGGCTGAAGAGCCCGAAAAACCCACAACAACCATTAATCCAGGGACATTTTACTGACATGGAAGTATTCTTTGACTTTGACTGTTGTGTTCTTATAAATATTTCTGAGGTGCTGTATCCCAGGTAGGTACTAGATCCAACTGTTACCGGTCAATTTTGGGTTCTGGCTTTCCGGCAAGGAAATCAGGCAGAGACACGGCAACTGAACCAAAGGTCCAATTTTATTCAAATAGCAAAAAAAGGACAGCTGGGACTTCTCTTAAAAGCAGACAAGACCCCCAGAATACAATGCCACATGTTTTATATGATACAAAGAGTCCTAAAAGTACTACAGTTCTACTGGATAAATGTACTCCCACTTTAGATCCAGTTCCTCATTGGATAATTAATGGTAACTAGCTAATCTATTGGTTAAATGTAAGAAAATATAATATATCCCATCTTTCCTTCACCTATGTCCATGATGCACCAGGGATGTGCCTAAAAGTCTGGGACACAGAGTATCTATTTCCCTTTATCTATTGCTATGTCTATGTATTGTCTTCCTGGGCCTAGTTTCTCTGAGGCCTGTGGTTTTCTCTGCTAAGGATTATCTGTGACTGTTTCTCTAGTTACCTGAATACGTATGAATGTTTCAGAGTCGAATTCTCCCGAGGCCTGGTTTCCCTCCAAATGTACTGTCAGTTACTAATTCATTGATCAATCTTAAAATACAGTTTCAGCTTTCCTTGGTGTCAAAACCAGAGGGCATTTCCCTGTATTTTTCTGCCCTGTTGGTATGCACAACACAGCAATAACATGTGAATTACCTAAGCACCAACAATAATAACAGTAACACAGCTGTCAAGAAATAATGAGTGATCCATCAAGTTCCTTTTAAGCTATTATGTTCCAAGCTCTGGCTTTCAGCTATAAAAGCCTTTGGTTCCCCACTGAGGTATATCAAGAGTGGACGGTAAGATTCGTTGAAAGCAGTTTCCCCACTATTCAGAGTCTTCCCTTCTCATAAATAGCTTACTCGCAGTGTTGAATATATTGTGGGGAGGAGTGGGCTTCGTGTCCCCACAAGTTGTAGACCTGTGGCTTCCATCATGTTTCATGACTACTTATAAGTAGCTAATTGACCGTTTATAAGGGTCAATGAGAGCTGCAACAGCTTCTATTCTGAGGCATGCTGTGTCTTTGCACAGAGTGAAAGAAAGGCCCATTGTATCTAAATCTAAATTGATTACTGCATGAATTAACACAGTTTCCTAGGGCAGGTGTGGGCAGATAATGGCATGGGCCTGGAGGTATTTTCTAGGAGCTAGTGGTGGCCCTGCCAAACACCTTTTCAATTTGGAAGATGAAAGCCTTACCGCTTTTCTAGGATGTTGTGTTCAATAGGCAAATGAGCAGATTTCTATCTTACACTGCACCTGAGAAGCCATACTCCATGCTTGCGAAAGCTTTACAGAGGTGGCAAAAAAATGGGATCCTCCAGATGTTGTTGGACTGCACTTCCTGGTAGCCCTTAACAGGCTAGCCAGCGGTGAAGGATTTGAGAGGTGGATTTCATCATCTTTCTAGCTGCACGGTGCTGAGCTTTCTTGAACTCCACAACTGTGTCTAGGGAACATGAGTGGCTCCTATAGGTCAAACTATACACTGTGAAAAACATGCCTTATAGCTACACACCTGGGATTCTCCTTCTATTCAATGTCTCTCTTTCTCTAACATCTTTCATTAGTTTTCAAGAAATATATAACAGGTGAATAGAGCTGGATACATTTATATATTGGAACATAATCTTAGAACTGCAGAGGTGGAAGAGACCCTATGTATCATTGAGTCCAGCCCTTATCAACAAGGCACAGTAGGGGATAAAACTCCCAACCCCTAGCTCTGCAGCCAGACGCCTAAAACCCCTGAGCTGTCCAGCAGTTCAAAAACATTCTCTTTTAACTAACTGCAACTGCAGGGGGGGAAGCCACTCTATAAGAGATTTAATTCTTTGCCTCCCCAGACATTTTTTCTCCCACCCAACCCAATCTCAGCTGCTATTTGCTGGTGTTAACACTAAACAATAGCTTAACAGAGTAATTGTTAGTGAGAAAAAAAGCACAGCGGGATAGGGAAATTAAATTTGTTTCTCTCTTTACAGGAACCAGAGATGTGTTTGAGGTTAGGTACAGTTTGATGTTAAGATGTCAGAAGCTGGCTGTCCCTTAGAATCCTGTACAGTACAAAGCAGAGTTTCCTACTAGACGAGTCAACATGAAATGGGCTCCCTTAGGGCTGGAAGTTTATAAACAACTGTGCTAGATCAAAGCTGATCTCTTGGCAATCAAATTAGCAAATCAATTAAGAACCAAAGTAGACATGATCTTAAATGCATCTTTTCTTTTAATGGGGCAGGTTTTTAAAAATGCAAATAGAATCAGCTGGTGTGTGGGTATATGCGTGCACACAGCTGTACATCTGAAGAACACTGTTATCAAGATCATAGCGGGTGGGGTGATAGAATCTATCTTCATCTCTTGCTTGCGATTCTGAGCACCCATGTTCTGAAGCTTTTCTTTTCATTAAGAGGGATCCCAGCCCCATTCAGGCCAACGAATATCTTCTCAAAGGAAAAGCCAGTTTCAGTGATGGATTTTCCTCAGGATTGCAGCTTTCATTCTCCCTTCTCTGCCTGACACTTTTATGATAATCATCCACCCAACCCATCCCCATCTTATGCTATTTACATTTTTTTTAAACCTGCACATTAAATGCAGTTCTGCATTGAATTTACTGACATGTGTAATTTGGACTAAAATGTGGAAGTCACTTGTTACATGTAATGTGATTACCCACAACTAGTTACTTCAGGGTAACATACAATGCAACTCACTGTTGCAAATTTGGTTTTTAGGTGTAATAAGTAACATCTACGTTACTTAACTTTAATGAGCAACAACAAGTTACTTTCAAAAATTACTTTAAAGGCCATCATGGTATTTTTAGGTAAAGGTTCCCCTTGACAATTTGTCCAGTTGCATCTGACTCTAGGGGGCAGTGCTCATCCCTGTTTCCAAGCCATAGAGCCAGTGTTTGTCCATAGACAGTTTCCGTGGTCACATGGCCAGTGCGACTAGACACCGAACGCCATTACCATCCCACCAAGGTGGTACCTATTTCTCTATTCATATTTTTACATGCTTGTGAACTGCTAGGTTGGCAGGAAACAGTATTTTTAAAGGCATTTAATTACAACATTTCTAAGGTTTATATCATTCTCCTTGCATCCAAGGTAGCATAGGAAGTATTATTATTTTTTGTTTTTCATATTTGTATAAATTTGAGCAAGGTGCAATATCAGAAATAGCTACTACAAGGAATAAGAGTATATTTCCCTGTATTTTCTTCTGGCTTCTTGGTAAATTCAAGGCAATACAGTACATTAGTAATGCACAATGCAACAAACAAGTTAAGTGATGGGGGCAACAAGAAGTAATGAGTAATGCAATCAGCTTCTTTTGAAGTGTAACATTCCAAATTGTGATTTGGACCTAAGAGAATCATCTTACATATTACATAAAATTAGTCTGTGACAAAAATAAAACCAAATCTCAGGAGGTACTTTCATCATGTGCAATGTCTTATGCAGGCAGAAGCATGAGAACTGTTATAGCGCTGTGAGAACGCAAGCATAAATGTTTGCACAAGATTTTCCTTCTGCTCGTGGTTCTTTGGATCAGAGCCATATTTGAAAATTTCCGAAGCAATGCGAGTCCTCAAAAACTGGTGTACCCCCAAATCACTTTCATTTTTGCAAAATAGAGATAATAAAATGGGTTTTAACAACTCATCAGCTATCTCTAGCTCTTGGTTTCCCCATCTGGTAATCTCCATTTATGTATGATATCTGGAGGCTAGTTCACTGTACTGGAAATTGATTTGTTTGCAATGCAAGATAATTGAATATATTCAAGAATATTTTCATGAATTAACATTTAAAGAAACATAGCTACATCTTTAAAGGTGCATCTCTGTCATTTCATCTTGTAGCCATGTTGAGATGTAATTATGTTTGAAAACAAACTCTGAGTTAAAATGTCTGGATCATTTTGTTAACCTCCTGTTTTTTTTTTTAAATCTTGCAGGCTATTTTGTATTTTGCAGGGATTTCCCCTCCAAATAAAAAGGTGTTCATATCAGAGCAGAGGAGATTGCATGTTCCATTCCACTGCGCTGAAAAGCTGAGCATGATATATATGATATTTTGATATCATATCTGTTACACAGATACTTTAGCTGATTGGCTATAATACATCAGTTTGCAATGTATTCAAGAGCTTTGCCTTGACCAATCACTCTAGCATAAACTATGGCATGATATTGCTAAAGCAGACAGTACCACAAATCTGAAATCCAGGGACAAGGGAAGTGTTTTGCTCTTCTCAAGCAATCTATCTTACTAACTGCCCAACCCTACAAATTTCCATTAGTTTCAGACATGTGTTCATGATGTACTACCAGCCCTTTGGCTTTTGGGATTGCACAGAGAGGTTTGGTGCTATTGTTAGTGTGCAATTGCTGCTTTTGTCTTGTGGTGGTAGTTGGATGGATATATGAGTGGTGGTTGCTGGGGTCCACGAAATTAAAAGACACCTGCTTCTTGGGAGGAAAGCGATGACAAACCTTGATAGCATCCTAAAAAGCAGAGACATCACCTTGCCAACAAAAGTCCGCATAGTCAAAGCTATGGTTTTCCCTGTAGTGATGTATGGAAGTGAGAGCTGGACCATAAAGAAAGCTGACCGCCAAAGAATTGATGCCTTTGAACTGTGGTGCTAGAGGAGGCTCTTGAGAGTCCCCTGGACTGGAAGGAGAACAAACCTATCCATTCTAAAGGAAATCAAGCCTGAGTGCTCACTGGAAGGACAGATCCTGAAGCTGAGGCTCCAGTACTTTGGCTATCTCATGAGAAGAGAAGTCTCCTTGGAAAAGACCTTGATGTTAGGAAAGTGTGATGGCAAGAGGAGAAGGGGACGGCAGAGGATGAGATGGGTGGACAGTGTCGTCGAAGCAACCAACATGAATTTGACACAACTCCAGGAGGCAGTGGAAGATAGGAGGGCCTGGCATGCTCTGGTCCATGGGGTCATAAAGAGACGGACACGACTAAACGACGACGATGAGTGGTGGTTGCTGGGGTCCATCAGTGCAATGCACCAGTGCTCAAAAATCCAACCACCCAAACATTTGTGCCAAGCACAGAACTTTTGATTTTCTTAAAATATGAAAGCAACCCCTCCAGTGCTTCTAGCCATCATGTTGTGCAGTTATCATCATCAAAGCATCAGCTGTGTTAAACATGTTATTTGTACCATTATGCTGAATTTGCACCAAAAAAAGGTTTTTGTTCTCTTGTTGAGAGTGCCATCATATATCTCACCTTCTTCTGGAACAAGAAGAATGTTGTAGTTCCTTAACATTTTTTGCTACAATCAGAGAAGCAAGGATTTACATCCTATGACAGGGGCAAATCAAACATAAATTGTTTCCATGAAATCCACCACCCCCTTCTAATGCATATATGGATTCTTTTACAACATAATCAACATATGAAAATCATCTACACTGGCCACACACTCCTCCCACGTGAATGTGTTGGTAACCACTTCATTTTATCCATTTTAAAATGGAATAAAACAAATTCCAAAATTTGTTATCCTCGAAACAATTTTCTTCCTTGTTCTCTGTATTAAATTAAATAATAAAACTAGCATGACATAGTCACATAAATCTCAAGTATGCACTAATTAGAATATTCAGCCTTTAAAGTTTGAATTTTTATTATCCCCTCCTTTTCTTTTTTTCTTCCATGAGGTTCTAACATACTTTTGATATTCTGAGTTGGTGTTAACAAGCTGTTGACACAAACTGTTGGATGCCCTTGATTCTCATCCAATTAGCGCTTTGAGTGGTACAGCTGCATGAGGTGTTTCTGCATTGTCATTAAGGATAGATGTGTGCCTCAACATGGAGCAGAAAATAGAACTGGGCTGTCCTTCACAGCTAATATAATGTGTGCAGGGGTTTAAGCAAACTCTGGGAAATATAGTCTAGAAGAAGGAGAAGAAGAATGGAGACATTTTGTTATAACATATATTGTGTCTTTTCCAGGGGGCTCTGGAGCATGAAGAAAGCAAGACATTACGTTTTCAACTGGAAATTTCCCAAATTAAAGCAGATTTTGAAAGAAAGTCAGCAGAAAAAGATGAAGAAATTGAAAACATCAGGTACAATGTATTTACAAAGTCATTATTTGAACCAATCTTTATTTTAAAGTGGGTATAAGACAAAAGATGATGTTAACAGGTTATAGGATTTTGTAGTTTTGATCTTTTATTGGATCAGGTCTTGATGAAATTAACTGAACATATTGTTCCAAAATCAGTGGGGCTTAAGTCATAACTAATTTGTGCCTTTGATTTCCTTTTGATTTCAGCCAACTTAATCTGGGTCCAGACCATTTTTTCAAAGAACTTGACACAAGGAATCTGGGTTTCTTATCCATTTTTATTGTAACAGTTCTGCCAAGTAACATATCATGTAGACGAGGGCAATTTACTTCTGTTTATGAATCTGTTTTGCCATCTGCACATGCTGTCTTAATTTGCAAGAATGTTGTTAAGACTGATTGATAATTACTGTCTGCACAATATGTTGACAAAAGATACATTAATAAACAAGAGGAAATAAACAAGAAATATACTGGAATCCATCTGATTTCAGAAGAGCATTTTAGAGAACAGATTCAAAATTAACTGATTTTACTAAGAGATAACTCAGAAGTAAGAACAGTGCAATAAGTTTCTTAAGATGGAAATGGAGAAGAATGCTGATTTTCTTTCTTTCTTGTATCTCCTAATTATGCTAAAATAATCTGTTGGCAAGCAGCTTCTGTGGCAGTAAAAAATGCCTTGAAGTTGGTAATGTTTCTTTTCTGTCTAACGAAGTACATTTTCTAAGCTTGGAAATTAAAAGAAGAAACACCTATACTTAGATTTGTCTATATGAAACATTCTTCCCAAACCAGGAGAAACCAGCAACGTACCATAGACACACTGCAGTCCACCCTGGATTCTGAAGCTAAAAGTAGGAACGAAGCGATTCGCTTGAAGAAAAAGATGGAAGGAGATCTCAATGAGATGGAAATCCAGCTCAGCCATGCTAACCGACATGCTGCTGAGGCAACAAAGACTGCACGTGCCCTTCAGACTGAAATAAAGGTGCTTCTTTGAAGATGCCAAAAGCAAAAAAGCAAAGTGTACTGCTTATATACCACCCCCCACCAGTTAGCTGGGTACTCATTTTACCAACCTCGGATGGATGGAAGGTTGTCTCAACCCTGAGCCAGCTACCTGGGATTGAATCCCAGGTTGTGAGCACAGTTTGGGCTGCAGTACAGCAGTTTAACCACTGCGCCACGAGGCTAATGTGGGGGGGGGGAATCTTTGGCCCTTCAAATCTTTTGGCTGGCAACTTGGTCTAAGTACATGTTGTCAAAGGTAAAGGAAGATAGGAGTTGAGGGAGGGCCAGACTTTCCTTAAAAAGGTAAAGGTTCCCCTTGACAATTTTTGTCCAGTCGTGTTCGACTCTAGGTGGCGGTGCTCATCCCCGTTTCCAAGCCACAGAGCCAGCGTTTTGTCCGAAGACAATCTTCCGTGGTCACATGGCCAGTGCGACTTAGACACGGAACGCTGTTACCTTCCCACCGAGGTGGTCCCTATTTATCTACTTGCATTTTCATGCTTTCGAACCGCTAGGTTGGCGGGAACTGGGACAAGCGACGGGCGCTCACTCCGTCGTGTGGATTCGATCTTACGACTGCTTGGTCTTCTGACCCTGCAGCATAGGCTTCTGCGGTTTAGCCCACAGTGCCACCACGTCCCGGTTAGACTTTCCTTACTCCTACACTAAGGAGCCTTCTTAATTTACAAAGAAATGAGGAGTTGAGGGAGGGCCAGACTTTCCTTACTGCTACACTAAGGAGCCTTCTTAATTTACGAAGAAATATGAGCCGATGGAGGTGACATACATTAGGAATTACATGGAAAACAAAGAAGGCTAGTTTTCTCTTCATAACATTTCAGCAGGGCCCAGTATCACTTGGAAGGAGGGGGCTCAAATATCTCTATTCACTGATGCCCCCATTCCCCTGCAAAACAACCTCAGCTCTTTTCTTTTTGTAAAGAGCTTTTCCATCATCTAGGCTCTGAAACCAGGCATGAGATGAGCTTGGAGACAATAGCCATGGAACCATTCATAAAAGAGAAGGAATAGGTGCAAAAAGAGTTAACCATTTCTCCAGCCTGGTCTCCAACGCTCTCCCATATGTGCCACAACTTGCATGTCCTATTGGCTTGACAAATATGAAGTACAGAACATGCCATTTGCTAAGGTAACATCTGAATGCTGTTTTATTCACATGAAGGAAGAACAGCTGGGAGTGGCTGGCTTACCAGAAAAATAATGGAAGAATATGTTAAGAACCACCTATGTCTCCATGGGACTGCTTCTGCAGAAGTCACATGAAGCTCTATTTTGTAATAAACAAAACATTGCATGTGTTTTGGGCCTTTGAGAGCAAGTCTAGTTCCAGAATAATGTATGCTATGAATAATAACCTTCATAATAGGCCTCTGTGGTTTTTAGGATTGCCCTGTCATAATAGTGGGATTCACATGGTTGTGGGATGCAGAAGACTTCTTGCACCACGTTATAGGTAGCAATCATGCCAAAAACAAACAAGCAGTTTTTTGTTGGAGCTTCATCTGTAAGGCAGCTTCCGCTTCTTGGTAGTTTCTCCATACCATCCTTCCTGAGTCCTTACAATGTATCTGAAAGGCACTGTGATGGGAAAGCTGCTTTATGCCAGTGGTTCTTCCTATTTGGTCCCTACAGCGAGGCCAGTAGTCAGGTTTTCTGGGAGCTGAACTCAAAAACATCTGGGGGAACCAATGCTGAAAACTACTTTTCCACACATCAATAATGTAGTATGCCTGCAATGCATGATGTGTGAAGGCCAAACTAGATCTTAAAGAGAATTGATAATATGCATGTGTTATGATTACCACATTTTTTTTCTACAACACAAAATACATGTCCCAGCACCCAGGCTTGCAAATTAAGTCTGTTTTTACCTTCCAGTGCCCAGTCACAAAACAAAGCTCACAAAATGAAGGAAGGTGTTGAAAAGCATATGCTGTGACAAGATGATAGTTAGTTAGGCATCCTTCAGTCTCGAAAGACTATGGTGTCGTGCTCTGTATGGAGGACTTGGAACAGCGTCTAGTGTGGCTGAAGAGGCCAATTCGAGAGTGGCAATCTCTTCCACACTGAAGACAAATCCAATCTGTCCCCTGTCCAGCTCCCTGGTTTTGCTGCTTTTGTGACTTCCTCTTTGCCTCTGCCTGCTGGACAAGGGTCTCTTCAAATTGGGAGAGGCCTTGAAGCACTGCCTGCCTCCAGGCTGAACGGTCAGATGTCAGGGTTTCCCATCTGTTGAGGTCTATTCCTAAGGCTGACAAGATGATATATTTCACCATTTGTGGGTGTGTCACTTCTAGTTACATGCCAAGCATATTATCTGTTTGCACCCTAAGAATGTTCTGCTGTTCCCTTTCAGGATCTTCAGGTGCAGCTCGATGATTCAACACACCTGAATGAAGACTTGAAAGAACAGCTGGCAGTGACTGACCGAAGGAATACTTTGCTCCAGTCTGAGCTGGATGAATTGAGAGCTCTTCTGGATCAGACAGAACGTGCCCGTAAACTGGCAGAGCAAGAGCTGCTCGAAGCCACTGAACGTGTAAACCTCCTGCACACTCAGGTTAACTATCAAATAAATTTGGCTGACTTTCCCACTCCCCCCCCCAAGACACTACATAGGGTAGTGACTGGGGAGAATGCAGGTTTCAGACAAAATATGATCTTGTTACCAAATATGCACAAATGTTTTTCTTTCCTAAGAGGAGGAGGAAATTAAATTGCACATTTTATGATGAGCAGTAGTTTCAACTTGTTGTAGTTCAGTGACCTCAACATCATTGACTCCGTAGAACATTTCTGTGACCTCTACCACCTCTTAAATTGCCTTTGTCTGGTAATATTGACTCACAAGTCAATAGCTTTTTGTTGTTGTTGTTGTGTTCTCTGCACAAGTGACTTCTTTACTTTTCATTTTCGTCACTTATTCCACAATCTGTTACAGGAATATAAAGGAATTATCCAAATCATTTCAATAAAAGAATTGTGCTCCCTGTTGTTTCTCTGAGTTCAGGTCACCCGAGTCACACATAATTTAGTAAGGAGACAATCCAGACAACAGTAACACTGCTTCAGATAGAGAATGTTAATTGCATTTAACTCCTACAAACAATGAAATGCATAAAATGTGTAATAGGCTACCTCACCTTCAATGCTGTTCACAGATGGACATAAAATTATCATGCCAATATTGACAATGTATTTAATTACACAGCTGAGTAGGTTGCTTAGTTAACTCATAGGCAAGTTATTTTGATGAGGGCAACTTAAAACTGTCATTTTCTGTAAATCCCTTTTAGTTGCCTAAAATGTAGATCTCTTCTTCTCTAGAGAGAGATGATTTGAATAGCAACTATTGGGGTCTCCTTATGCCACACTTTCCAAAAATGAAGATATATTTGTAACCAGCAAGTCAGTGCAATTAAGTTTAAAAAAGCAACCTTTTCTGATAACAACTCTCGCAATCTCCAAAATCCGAGGGATATTGGACTTTATATATATTCCATGCTGTGTTTTTAACTCTGCTAAATTAATTTCTGTTTTAATATCTGATTGCTACAGACAGGTTGGTGTGGAGGATTCTGCCTTAAGACAGAAGCTGGCTATATTTCAGATCTAGCCCATGACCACAAGGTTCTCCCATTCACCCACACCAAAGTGCAGAGTATTCAAAGCCAGCCACATTATTCTTGCATTTGGGCAGAAGATCTTATATGTTCTCTCCCTGGCAACAGTTAACAAATTGCTTCCATATTACGATACTCAAAATCTGCTGCCCTGAGGTGTCTGCTCCTGCCTACTGGTAGGGCCAGTCCTATCTTACTTCTTTCTTTTCAAAGTCCCTTCTAAACTTTCCATTCCATTCTGTGCCTAGCAAATACATGCTAGTCAATAATACCGATTCACTATGTGAGTAATTCAATTGGTATTGTTCTTTATCTGAGCAGCAGTGGTCTTAGGAGATGATAAAGATGATTGCATGTCCTCGATGAATGCCTTTCTCCTCTTCATTTCATAATCAAGAATACCAGCCTGATCAATCAGAAGAAGAAGCTGGAAACTGATATCACTCAAATGCAAAATGAAGTGGAAGAAGCCATACAGGAGTGCAGGAACGCCGAAGAAAAAGCCAAGAAAGCAATCACTGATGTAAGTTGGCTGCTTGTTCCTACTCCTAGAAGTATCCACTCTGATCTTTTTACCTGTCAGTCATTTCCAAATCATATACAAATTTTTGTATGTAGGTAGGTCATGGTTTATAAAAATATATTTGCTTGGTTGCTCTAATAATGGTGTTTTTCTTCTTTTGAGATCATCTAATTTAGAACTCTCTCATTACTCAGAAGTATTATGGAATTCTGGAGGATAAAATCCCCACTCTTTTCAGATATGTTGTTATTACTATAACAAAAACCTCAAGAAACTTTTGGAAACTGCTAGAAGAACTGCATTATTCTAAAATGGAAACAGGGTCAATTTGTCTCCCTGAAACCTAGAATTAAAATTTTGGATGTTGAGATTTTTCCTACCAGCTCTATAGTAATAATTATAAATGTGTTCAGTGTCATTTTCCTAGCTTACAAAAATGGCCATCCAGCAGCAGGCAGTCCTAAGCCTGATCTAGTCAATATTATCACAATATGTAATTTAAGGTGTTCTCCTTTGTAGTATGCCATCTCTCTAGGGGTGCTTGTCTATCATTTCAGCATCAGAGTAAGATTTTTTTTCTTTCTCATGACTTTTAAGATCTTACTAATTTAGTGGGTCTTGTATTTACTATCGGGTTTTTCTCTCTCTCCTGGAAGCTGTATAGCTTGTGTTTTTATGGTCTAGCCTAGATGTTTTTAAAGACATGTTGTTTAAAATTTTAATTGTATTATTGATTTTGTATGACCCCTTAAAGAACTTGTTTTATAGCTCTCTAATGCATACCAATCAATCAATCAATCCCTCTCACAGGAAATTATACCATGTAAAATTTAACTAGAACTCTACGTCATAAATGCATGGTGCATCTGTATATAACTATCTTGACCTCTGAATGGGTGCTTCTTAACTGCTCATTCTCCAGACCCTTTTCATTGGAATTCTTAGATGTCCTAGCCAGCATGGTCAAGGATTCTGGAACTCGAAGTCCAAAATATCTGGAGGCCCAAAGACTAGGAATCATGGCTCTAGATACCTTCCATGATTTCACTGTTATTAAAACTTAGTGGAGGCTGGCTGAGTAGCTTAGTGAGATGAGTACAGTACCTTGCTACAAAGCTGGAGGTTGAGAATTTTATTCCCCACTATGCCTCCAAGGAGAAAAATCAGCCTGTGCAGCCTTGGACAAGTTACCCAGTCCCTGAGGACCCCCAGAAGAGGGGAACAGTAAACCACTTCTGAGTATTCTGTACCTAGAAAAATGCTGGAAAGAGTAGCCATAAGTTTGCATCAACTTGATGACACATAATTTGCATTCAAATAGAGTTCTTATTTCTTAAGGATGATTTCACACTTTTTCTTACTATAGGCAGCAATGATGGCAGAAGAACTCAAAAAAGAGCAAGACACTAGTGCTCACTTGGAGCGAATGAAAAAAAATATGGAACAGACTATTAAAGATCTCCAGAAGAGACTGGACGAAGCAGAGCAAATTGCTCTAAAAGGGGGCAAAAAGCAGATTCAAAAGCTAGAATCCAGGGTGAGTGTGTTTTTTTAAAAAAATCTACTTTTGGTACCTTTTGTAAGCATTCAAGTTGTTTTCAAAAATCATTAATGTGTTCATTTTCAAGGGGGAGATCAATTCTCGGCACAGTGGTTACATTGTACTTCAACATTTTCTATGGAAAGGAAAATATTGTAAAGGAGGGCTCAATACCAATGCCAAAAGTCTTTTAGTAAATATTTTCTAAAGCACATTCAGAAGACTAAATCATTAATATTGAATTCTTTGAGTCTTTGCTATGAGGCAGAACCACTTTGAAGACAATGTTTGCTGTCCTATATATATACGATTCAAATGCTTTCTATTCTCGTGCAGGTCCGTGAGCTGGAAAATGAACTAGAGGCAGAAACCCGCCGTAATTCAGAAGCTCTGAAAGGAGTTCGCAAATATGAGAGACGCATCAAAGAGCTGACTTACCAGGTACCAATCATTAAATGGGTCAGCTGAAATATTTCATATTTACTGTCCAAACACAGTCCTGTCACAAATCTGAAGTAGCATTACCAAAGTCTTTGTATGTGACGGCAGCTACAAACAGCCTGAGGGCAAATCTCAGCCTTCTTTTTTCACCTTCTATCTCTGTCATCCTCCTCGCTGCTTGAAAAATAGTTCTGTGAGGTGGAGGGTTGATATTTCTGGATCAAAGGAGAAGAGGTTCTTTGGTCTTCTCTCATCAAAGCCCTTTCTGCTTCTTGCCCACTTCTGAACCTCTGCATCAGGAATGGAAGCATGGCATAGAGGAAATGAAAGTGTGATATGGCAATTGGAAAGCCACACATGACCCTCAGAAGCAGATTGGGCCAGCTCGGTTGCAGTGGTTGCTCAGGGTCTGAGTAGGGGGATAAATCAAAAATGGTGTGGGGAGATACCACCCCCTGGCATCTTGGTCAACAAGCTACCAGTGCCAGTGTGTTTACATTATCCAGGAATGTGTCAAGCTCCAGAATTTATTAACAATTTATTTGAGTTATTAGCTATTTTGCTGTAGTTTGAATGAAAATCCATTTCAATTTTTTAATATAGAAATCACATATTTAAAAAAAAACCCAAGAGGGATTCATAGTATTTGTCAGGAGAGTTAACATTAGGAGGGCAGGCCTGTCAATATGGAGGGTGCTAGCCTTCTTCCTGGATTCAGACTCTGACTATAGACTAAAACATTGCAGGAAATGCAAACTCTCACAGACCCAATCCATAGTTTTTCCTCCCCCATTTCCTCAGAGACCCTTTTTCTTTTCACAAGTTGAATAAAGATTCAAGACCAGAAATATGGGTTAAACACGGGTCATACTTTATTGAAAGCCATCATTGTTGCCATCCTTTGGCAAAGGGGGGTCCTGCCATAGTGCGGAATCAGGTTTAAGCACAGAGGTCTCAATGGACCCCTTAACCAACAAATGGGCAAGTCCCTGGCCCCAAGTTCTCGCGGTCATAAAGACAGTGAGAACCCAGCTGCACCCAATTTGACCACCCTCGTACCGCAAGCCACCTTTTCCTTGTTGGCTGTTGGTCCGGGTGTGGCCCCAGCACATCTTTCCCCCCAAACAGTGTAATCGCACGATCCACAGCGCTGGGAGGTCAGATGGGCTATAGCTTACCTGCAATTGCAATGGGACTCACCGAAACCCTGTTTTATCCACACTACCCACCACAGCATAGGAACTAGCATAGCTAAGTCCCATGCCCACCATTGAGCCCATCAAGGTCAGCATGCAGGCCCCTCTTGATGTCTTCAAGGAAGACATCCAAACCACCATTGCACAGATGTGCACCATCTGACCAAGAAAACTCAGGCCTATCCAAACAGATCCTCTGGTGACCAATCACCGATCCAAGGCTGCTGCAGACCCCCTGCAGACTTCCTGATTAACATGCCTGCGAGCAGTGTTAATGGGTAAAAATTATCTGGCTTCTCTCCAAGCTAACCGAGGGATGATTGTTGACCAGATGATGCTCATCGCCAGGTACGTGGCTTTCAGCCAGGATCAAGGCCTTTCCGCAATGCTTGGGTAGATCATTGCTGCCTAGATGTGCCACCAAAACATTTGGGCAAAATTATCCAAAAGCAGCCACTCTGAACAGCTGGCTCCACTGCATTCCACGCAGTCCTCTCCACTCAATATGGGCTCTAGCTCCAAGGCCCAGACAGCTCCCCCATGGGGATGCAGCCACATAGCTGCCCAAAATACATAGCTGTGGCCCACAATCATCACACGCTTTCTCCTTGTTGCCTCCAAGATATCTGCAATACATAAGAGAACCAGGCCCCTAATATATGTCCTAATATACCTATGGTAGGTGGATGAAGACCACCTCCCAAGCCATTTAATGTCTTCTACGTTATAGCCTAAGGCTGCTGCTGCCCAGGTGCTACTACCCAACAGGCAAAATTAAGATGGCCGACAATCTCCTGGAGCTCCCTCAGGAACATTTTCGCCTGCTTTTCCCGCTGCCGTAACAGTGTGGCTATGCGAATCATAAGGTCATATAACTTACTGTCCGGCAGTTTGGATGTCTGCTGCACCGTATCCAGTTCAAGACCTTAAAAAGTCAGGGATGTGGCTGGCCACTCTGTCTTCTCCTCTGCCAGAGGTAGCCCCAACTCTTCAGCCATTGACTGAAAAATATCTAGAATAAATCTACACCTTCCTGAATTCCTCTCACCACAAAAAATTAAACCATCTAAATAATGAGCTGTATCACTGCAACCCACCCTTTGCCTGAGTTGCCACTCCACAAATGAACTGAAACGCTCAAATGCTGCACATGAAACTGAGCAGCCCATTGGCAAACTCTATCTATATAGAAAGAATCCTGAAAGGAGAATCCTAGCAAGTCAATCGAGCGGATGCACCGGTAAAATCCAGAAAGCCAATTTTATATCACATTTTTCTGGTTCTGTCCCCACACCACACCTTTGCACCACCCACACCGCCTCATCAAAGGAGGTATAGCGCACAGTACAAAGTTCCTGAGGGATGGTGTCATTGACCGAAGCCCCCTCAGGATAAGACAAGTGGTGTATCAATCTAAATTCCCCCTGTGCCTTCTTCGGGACTATCCCCAGAGGGGAGACCCTTAGGATTTCCAAAGGAGCCATTGCAAATGGCCTTCCCTCACCTCTTTGTCATTCTTCTCCTGGGCAACACCTTCCATTCCACGAATGGATCTCAGGTTTTGCACAAAGAACGCTTTGTGTTCACCAACTGCTGGTATCCTAAAACCATATCTAAATCCCTCCAAAAGGTAACTAGCATCATCTCTGCATGGATACTCCATGAGCCATGCTTCCAAAACTGACACTTTAATTGGGCTGGGACCCTTTTCCAGGCTTACCGCCCCCACTATTGGGTTTTTACTGCCAGCTGGGCCCTTGTTCTGACGCTGAGCCCCTGCCCTGAAACATGACGAACTGGGATGTTGACCTCCACGTGTTGTGCACTTGTCTCTAAAGCAGCACGGTTTCCTATTACAGACACCCTTGGCCTTATAGTCCCTGCAGAGCAGGTGGGTTTGAATGACCTGCCCTGCTCTTAGACAGGGATTCTGATTCAAAGCTGTTTTCCTGATAAGTTGCCCACTATTGAACCTGTTACCCAAGTTAGACCTGGCAGGCATCATGGACTGTAGCCAAAAACCCAGCAGGGGCTCATCCCATCAAAGGTTTGGGTGAATAGCGCTCCACATACAGAACGATTCATCATAGTGAAGCCATGCCTGGCCCGCAAAGTCCACATAGGCCCGATAAAAGAGCCTCGTGGTGCAGTGGTTAAAACGCTGTACTGCAGCTAAAACTGTGCTCACGACCTGGGGTTCAAATCCCAGGTAGCCGGCTCAAGGTTGACTCAGCCTTCCATCCTTCCGAGGTCGGTAAAATGAGTACCCAGCTTGCTGGGGGGGCAATGTGTAGCCTGTATAATTAAAAAATTGTAAACCGCCCGAAGAGTGCTTGTAGCGCTATGGGGCGGTATATAAGTCCAATAAATAAATAAATAAATAAATAAATGAAATCTAAATACTGAAAGGGAGACTGAGCCTGCCAGGGTTGGGCATTCACGGCCACTCCTGCGTAGATTAGGAACCCCGGCAACCAGTTAGCCCATGTCCTATCTGGCTTCTTCTTCCTGTGTCTTTCCTTATCTTTACCATCCTCCTTGTCCAAATCCTTCTTTTCGACATGGATTCACTCCTCCAACACAAACCTATAGGAATTATACCTAGACCAAGTTGGCAAAGGATGTAGCAGTCTAAGGTTCAATAGCAGCTCCAACCTCTTCAGCAATCTTGTTCTTTTTAATTGAAATCTCTTATTCATAGCCCCACTTTTTTTTAGTCCCACTCTTTGGGCTGAACCAATATTTCACAGAGGTTACGCAGTCTGTGGGCCTATATATCCATATATCTATATCTATATAAAAATTGTATATGCATCATCTATATATATGGAACAATCAACTTCTCATATTAATCTGTCTGCAGTGAATGGCTGCCAGCACATAACTTTTTTGCTTCCATAATTTCTTCCAAGGCTGAGGAGGACAAGAAGAACTTGACAAGAATGCAGGAGCTGACTGATAAACTGCAGCTGAAAGTGAAAAGCTATAAGCACCAGGCAGAGGAAGCTGTAAGTTGGAAGAGTGTGTTGCAGGACTGGGAAATCTTTGACTTCTCAGATGGTTTATCTTTAGATTCCCATCAGCTCCACCCAGTATGGCCAGTGGTAAGGGACTGTGTTAGCTGCAGTCTAAAATATCTGGAAGATCAAAGGTTGTTTCACCCTCGTGTAATTAAAATAATGGCATGAGTCAAGCTGACATTTCATTAAGCACAGAGAGCTCCTTCATGTTAGTTTTAAAGTGTATTCATAGCAGCTATATAGCAGCTCAGGACTTTAACGTGTGTGTGTGTATGTGTGTGTGTGCACACGTGTGTGTGTGTGTGCGTGTGTGCGTGTGTGTGTGTGTAACTTTTTACACCAGTCAGGTGATTTCAGTGAAATCCTCCAACCTCAAACCTCCAGTGTCTGTTTATATTGCATGGTATACTGTATTGGCACTAGGATGTGTTAACACAGCAGTATGGGAAATTCCCACTGATTCTGTGCTAGGAGTTTCTGGTTGTTGTTGTTGTTGTTGTTGTTGTTGTTGTTGCCATTCAGCACTCTCCTGTTGTGTAGCCTGTGCAGATGGCTAGTTCACACCCAAATGGAACTATGGGTGGAATTAAATGAGGAGACAATCCTATGACATATTAAGTGGGTTGTGACATTAGAAGAAAGGGCAGAGAAACCCTCTCCTCTATTTTTACTTTTTTTTTAAAAAAAATATCCCTAACTGATGCAGCAAAGTTCTAATACTATACTAGGCTGATGGATTGCTGTTTTAATATGCCACTTTATTAGGAAGGAATGGAGGGAGGGAAGTCACCATGGCCCATTGAACAATGGCCATGGGAAAATAGGGAAGGGGGCTAGTTGACTCTACCCCACAAGACAGCACATCTCCTGCTGAGGAGAAAGGCAGGGAAAGGGGAATAACCTCTCTTCCATCCCCTCAACCTTCACCCCAAAGTTTTCCTCTCCTGCTGCTGCTATCCTCCACTGATTTTGGGTAACCTTACACATGAGTAAACCAGGTAAACTTTTCTCATGAGTTAAATAGTAATTCTGTGTGGAAACTTCTTAGGAGAGAATAAACATATCCAACACTTGAGAGAAAAATGATATAGATTGCAATGAAGATAAAAATCTTCTAAGGGCAAACCAGTCCACTCCCTTGTCTGGACAGGCCCTTCTCAAAAATCATAACAGCCTTAAAAAGGTTTTTAAAAAATTAAAAATCAAATTTGCAAATATTTGAAATTTTAAAATCTAACAGAATTAAATTTAATATTAACGAATATAGGCCAAACTCCTGTTGCTTAGTGTGGTGAAATGCACTAGAGTAAGCCCATTGAGTCAGTGGAAATTTGGTGAGTCATCTCCAAAGAGTCAAATGGATCTGCTCTAACTATGACATAATAAGTCACAACCAGAATAGGCCCATTTGAATAAACAAATCTTATGGGGTAGCTTACTCACTAAATTCCCACTGATTCTGTGGGCATACTCTAGTGTGGTTTACTATGCTAAGCAACAGGATTTTGGACACTGACTTTCTGCAATGAAATGTATTTAAAAAAAAACTCCCATACCTCTGTAGTGCTTGGTTTTCTCATGAAAATGCTGATTCTTGTGGGCAGGTGGTGCTGTTCTGATTACAGGAGCATCAAAACTCAGTCCCAATATGTCAGAAACAGAAGCAATTATTCTTAAAGTGTATTGTATCATACACTGCTGCAAAGCTAAATTCAATTTCAGAATAAAAATTGAATTACATGTTGGTACAGAATTGTTTGTCTTAGTAATCCAGTGCCTGACAAATGACGCCATTCTCTCATAAAACATTTCACTTTGTGTTCCATTTTTTGCTCAGTATGTATCATTGATAGATCTCCTGAATTCACTAAAGACCAGAAGGAAAGTAGATGGGATTTGCTGAGAGTGTCTTCATGTATTTTCAAGTTCTATAACACAGGTGTGGGTTGCATAGGTTAACAGGGATATGATTTTCTGCCTTGAATAAGAGTTCTCAGAGTATGAGCCTTCTCAGCATTAAAGGTCATCAGAGAAGGCCCTTCTCTTAGTCCTATTGTCAGTGCAGGCACAGTTGAGGGGGACATGAAAGAGGGCCTTCTTTCTGCCTCCTCCCAGATTATGGAATACTTTCCCTTGGGAGGTCAGGTTGATTCCTGGCCTTTTATCCATCTACCAACAGCTGAAGACCCACCTTTTCAGATAGACTTTTAATAATTATAATTGAATCTCTGGCATTTGGTTAAGATAGATTGTAACATTTTAAATGTTTTTAATTATGCAATGCATTTTAATCAGTTTTATAATTTAATTGTATTAATGTATATCTTACTTTGTTTTTAATGGGGTTTTTTTTTTATCCTATGAGCTGTCTTGAGTCCCTTATTGGGAGAAAGGTGGCCAATAAACAAAGCAAATAGATAAATACTAAATGAATAATGCTGTACACCAGCAGAGCCCTGGCTGAGGAAAAATGCAGAAAAAGAGAGAGGTTACCTCCTTTCCATCTCCCAAACTTCCCCGAGTACACAGCATATGGACTCGTAGTCCAGATAGGGGGGGTATAAATCAAATAAATTTTAAAAAATCAATATCTTCCCCTGCCATTCCACTACTGATTTGCCTGATTCTGCATTTTGTGACCATTTGCCATCTGATTTGTCTGTTATCCCCTAGTTATCCATGCAGATACGTGTTTGAGAAACCATTGTGCATAGAATCCTTACTGTTCCTTCACTACATGATGTTGATATATTTTTTTCTGGACCACTAGCTATGTGGCCTGGGGACCATAGGACTTGTTGTTCAAAGCAACTGAAAAGCTCCATGTTAGGGAACGCTGGCCTAGGCCATTCACTTTCCCTTTAAATTAAAACGTGAACTGACTAGTTGCTGCCTACAAAAATAAGTATTAATGTAGGGAATGTTAGCAACTTTCCAAATGAAAGAAATGTTTAAAACGGAAACTGGGGTCAACAAAACAACGTATTATTCAGCATTGGTTCACACAAGTGTAAATTGGCTCTGTTTGCTTGTTGTGGAAGCCTACTGCTTTCCAGATTAGAGAGGTTGAACATGTTTCTTGCCCTTTCATTTGTTTTTTTTTTCCCAACAGGAAGCTCAAGCCAATCAATATCTTGCAAAGTACAGGAAGCAGCAGCACGAGTTAGATGATGCTGAAGAACGAGCTGAAATAGCAGAATCCCAGGTCAATAAGCTCAGGACCAAGTCAAGAGATATTGGCATGAAAAAGGTATGTCATTCTCAGATGATCCTGAAGAGAGAATTTTTGCAGGATCCTGTGGAAAGGATAAGATGGGGCAGGCAAGATTTCAAAGAAATGCTTCACAGATGACTGCATTCCATGCCTGTATTTGGAAAACAGTCATCTTTTCCCATTCAGCCTGACAAAAGGATATGGTTTGTTTGCTGATTTAAGTGTAACAAAAATGTTTATACAGTGCCCATCTGGCAAAGTCATGGATCTATGAGCACCCTAATACTTGAAGCAGTTTGCATGTATAACAACAAGAACAATTATTATTATTACAGTATTATTAATTGATCACAAATCATAAGCCACAAACCACAAATATTACAATTAAATTTTTTAAAGCCAGTGCAGAGCCTGATGTCAAAATATTATAACATTAAGATATTAAAATGGTACTCAGAGCATCAATAAAACCTAAATTATGACCTGAGCAATATAATGCATGACTGAATACAACGTATTTAGATGTCTAATGTCTAAATGCTGCTAATAAAGATGCCAGGTGGATCTCTATTAGGAGTGCATCTCACAGACTGGGAAAGTAGCCTTAGCAGTGACTGGTCTCACACCATTGTGAGGGGTGACAACTACAAAAGACCTAGAATGATCTTAGCCACCAGGCAGGAATGCATGGAGACAGGTAGAATACGCCTAAACTGTTTACGACTTTGAAGGTTAGTACCAGTACCAATACAGGCCCTTAGAAATTGATGGGTAACCAGCCTGGCTAATGCAGTGCTGCAGTTCTGTAACCTAAACGACCAGGTCCCGTGAGTAGCTTTGTTGTTCTGTTTTGCACTAACTGTTGTTACCATCTTCAGAGGTAGCCCCAAAAGCATTGTGGGCAGGTGGTTAGCAGGTAACTGCAGCCAGCCTGTCTCTGTCCAGAGGGAGCATTGTTGGTAGATCTACTGGAGCTGATAAAAGGCAATCCATGCCACTGTGGTTACTTGAGCTACAAGGGGCAAAGCTGGATCTATGAGCACCCAAACTGCCAACCTAAGGGTCAAAACAAATGACACAGCACATTCTTATAAGCAGAGCTCCCTTAAGACACAAAATGTATTATTTTCCCCCAAGGGTTCTCAGTTCGAAAAAGAGCAAATCATCTTGCTTTTGTTTTTGATTGCTCATTGAGAGATAAATCCACATTTTATCTGCAAGCATGATGCTTGGTCATGAAGTTCTGATGGAACCATGTATCTGGAAAGAAGTAGTTTTGGTACCTTGTAATTGCAAAGCTGGGATCTCACTTCATTCTGCCCTTTGAGGAGAGTACAATCTGGATAGATTAGCTGGATAGAGGAACTGCCTACTAATACAGTGGACCCTTGACTTACAGACGGCTTGACTTACAGACTTTTTGAGTTACAGACTTCTCTGGCCACAAAATTTAGGTTTGACTTGCAGACTGAGATTTGACTTACAGACCAGAAAAAAAACAAAATGGAACAAAAACGGCCTGTTACAGGATTAATCAGTTTTCAATGAACTGTAGGTCAATGGAGACTTGACTTACAGACTTTTTGACTTGAGAACCGCCTTCCAATATGGATTAAGTTCTCAAGTCAAGACCCCACTGTAGAACCTCTGTCTTGTCTGCACTGCATCCCAATGCATTGGCTCTCATCAAAATCTAGCAGAGATCCATTAGATTCATGTGAGAAAAGGCCCACCCTTTCCTTTCTTATAACAGGGAAGGAGGTTTAGGTGTGTGCAAATACTTCATACTTATAACTGTATAAAGAGCACTGTAGGTCATGAGTGAAGAACTGTCAGCTTTCCAAATGTCTGTTTGACAACAACATTCACAATCCCTTGCCATTGGCCATACTGGTTGGGGCTTTTGGGAGTTTATGGCCTACAACAAGTCTAAATTCTAAGGGGGGCAAATGTTCTCAACACCTGTGATAGGCCATAAGAAACCATTTTGCTGTGGGAGTTTTTTTTTCCTCCCTCTAATTCGTGGTATCACTGTGTTATATTAGTCTAGGCTAAACCTACTAAAGGATGCCTATTGCTTACCACATATTAATTATTCCAGCTATATATTTTTGCCTCTGTAATGAAGCCTTTGGAATTACTATAATTAATATGAGAATTAACCCATAAAAATATTAGTCTGGAACTATTAAAATCAATTTGGGAGGTTACCAAGGGATTTTGTTAGGATGTAGATTATACCTTAAATAACAAAAACTGGCTGTTAACAATCTCTGTGTTGGCTGCTGTAAATTATTTTGGCAGTTGCTATTCATATTTCTATGGGGGTTTTATCAGCATTATTTTCTCTAATGATGGGTATTGAGAAAAACTGTATTTAATCAGTAATGTACACAATGAAAGCTCCTACAGAACAGTCAAGGCTAAGGAGGCGGCCTCTTCTGGCACAAGCGTATAATCATTTGATGCTGTTGTCATGGCCACCATTCTGAGGGCTCCACAGGGTGACACCAGAGCACAAAGGTTTGCAGCCTGAGAAAAATGGCAAAGATTCTGCTTCCACATGATGTCTGTAAGAGTCACAGCAGACCCACAACCATTTCTTCCAAACATGAGGAGAATGCCTGTATCTCCTGTGGCTCCCTGTTACAAGCATTTGCCACTCTATAATAAAGCCGCAGTTTGACTTTGCAATGCAAAATGGAGGTGGCCTATTCAAGCAGTTTTTGGAAACTTGGAGGCAGCTAATCTTTTTTCTAGATCAAAATAAGGAGAAGCTGTGTGCAGAATATTTTGCCTTCTCTTCCTTTTTTTTCAAATGTTGTGTGGTAATAAGAAAGAATAAGAATCCTGCTGAGTCACACCAAATGTCTATTTAGTCTAGCATTCTTTAGCCAACCTCGTGACTATGTGGAGCTCACAAACAGGATGTGAAGGCAACTGTCACCTCCTGATGTTGCTCACCAGCAACTGATATTCACAGGTGTTTTGCCTCTGATCCTGGAGGCAACCTAGAGAATGCTGCTTATAAGCAGAAGTACATTTCTCCACATGCATTAGGAAGAGCAGGTGTTGCAGATGGAGGGAGAACCTGCATATGGCAACCTAATCTCAGGATTTGCTGGACTGCATACTTACTGTCATTCAAAAAAGTGAGCAATGTGTTAAGTATCCAGCTGTTGCTCCTGCAGAGAACTTGGGAGAGTTACTTTTTTGGACTAGAACTCTCAGAATCCTCCAGGTCTACATAACCAATTATAGGTGTATCCATCCATGGATATGCATATATAGTTTTTAATCCAATGAAAGGGCCATGAGAGATATATATAGCTATGGGTAAAATAACTGAACATTTTTGGGTTTACAAAGGGAGAGATGACTAAACAAACGAAATTCACATGTAAGACACCTCATCACGAAGCAAAGTCCTTTTTTCTGGAAGCATATCAAGTGCTAAGAAATTACAGAAAAGGATTACACTGAATATACAAGGTCCAGTTCTAGCAAGGAATTTGCTCTTCATTTTCAAATTTCTTTCCACTCTCAGTCTCTGATTTGGGCAGAGGAAATTCATATAGATAAAATGCAAAAAAGATACTTTTTATAAAATCACTTAACATATCTTGCTGCACCAGGCCTTGAGGCATATTAAAATTGAGGTTGCTCATAATTCAAGAATACTTTTCACTCCAAAGATCTACGTTGCCAATTCCTAATATTTCAAGAGACATGCTGTGCTTCTTAAAAGCGTTGAAGGCACTACAGCTTCATTCCCTGCTGCAAAATTGGGCATATGCTTGGGCAAATTCTCCAAGACAGCCCCTTTCTTCCATAACACTCAACAGCCCTCTTTCAATAAAGAAATCACATCATGCTTTGCAACACTTTACAGGTCTTCTTCACACTAGATGCATTCAACAGAAAATTAGACAACCGTGTGTCAAATGTCCTTTGATTTGGATTCCTCATTGAGCAGGGGGTTGGACTTGATGGCCTTAAAGGTCCCTTCCAACTCCATTATTCAATAATGCAGTGATTCAATGATTCTTCTTTTCCAGCTCAGGCCTGCCTCAGGCACTAGATTTTGGGTGCCACAGCACAATTTTAATTATTTAATTTTGTGACAGCATTTCTTTTACAGGAACAGGGAGAGGTACTGGTGCCAGGATTACCTGGCTATTTTGTGGTGTCGTGCCTTATGCTTGAGCGGGTAGGGTGAGGTGTCATATGCTGCTCTCCTCTGGACAGCAAGCTATCTTACATTGGATATATCCTTCCACTTCTTCTGAAGAGGTTTGGAGTGAGTGAAATCGCACATTCTAACACTTCTGTCCTGATATCGCAAATCATTGAATTTTTCTACACTTGGAAGGACACTGTATATTACAGATAACATGTCATTCTACCTGAAATCGCAACAGTGTATTAGATACATTATTCCAGCAGAACTTTGTGTCTGAGAAAACAGATTCACAATAGAACCTCTTATTTATGGCATGAAGACCAACCATAAAATAAAGCAAGCTAATTTGCCAATTAGACAAAGTTGTGCAAAGCTTTTGTATTAACCAGAGGCTTTCAGCACTTCAGGAATATGTGTTCTCTGTAGTATATGGTTTGACTATTGATTGCTGCATTTTTGAGCCTGAGACAGGTACTGTGACCAGATGGAACAAATGTGCTTGAGGCAGCATCATGACAGCAAGCTCCAGTCATGATATTTAGATAGATTAGGCATCCTTCAGTCTCGAGAGACTATGGTAACGTGCTCTGTATGGAGGACTTGGAACAGCATCTAGTGTGGCTGAGAGGGCCAATTAGAGAGTGACAATCCCTTCCACACTGAAGACAAATACAGTCTGTCCCCTGTCCAGCTCCCTGATTTTGCTGCTTTCATGATTGCCTCTTTGCCTCGGCCTGCTGGACAAGGGTCTCTTCAAATTGGGAGAGGCCGTGATGCAACGCCTGCCTCCAGGCTGAATGCTCAGTTGTCAGGGTTTCCCATCTGTTGAGGTCCATCTCTAAGGCCTTCAGATCCCACTTGCAGATATCCTTGTATCACAGCTGTGGTCTCCCTCTGGGGCAATTTCCCTGCACTAATTTATCATCTCCACACAAGAATTGGAGGTTGTTCATTACTTTGTGTACCTTGGATCAATGATCTCTGACACTCTCTCCCTAGTCATGATATACATATGTCTGAATGTCAGCAGAGCATCTGCATGTAGCTACTTTACATGCTTAAATGAATGGACTGAGCTTCATTTCAGTCTTAGAACATCTGCTTGTATGATGGGCAGTTGGATGTGTGATCCTCCTCCCTTGAAAAGCACTATGTATGAAGAGCAAGGACAGTTCTGTCAAACTAAATGAATTGGGCTTATAACTGGTTTCTGTTGAAATCAGTGGTAATTAAGTCATAACTTAGTGGTTCTGTTGATTTCAGAGGGAATAAAGTTTAAGTGCTAGATCACATGTGCCAAAAAAAAATCCCAGTTATACCGTTTTAGCCATTATTTGGATGGTTTCAAATTTTTCTGTTCACATGACTCATGGATAACACTGATTCATTTGCCTCAACAATTGGTTTATTTCCTCCTTTCCAGAAGGGTAGTTTTAAATTGTACTGATGATGTATTGCTTCATTCATTATCATTTCAGTGTGTGTAAATCTTGCTATCAATTTATTTCCTTTGCCAAGGTGTGAGGTTTTGGGGCACCTTGGCCACTTGGCCACTGAATCTTAATATTTTTTGAAAAAAAATATTTCAAAGGGGTTTTGGTAAATCACTAGTAGCAGCCACTGCTGCTGCTGCCACTGCGACAAAACAACAACAAAAACAAATAACAAAAAAACCATGAATACATTGCTCAGAATCAGACAGTCTTCCTCCCTCCCTTGCAGGTGAAATAGAACTTGAGAAAGGCACATTTCCTATTTTGAATTGTAAAGAAAGCAGCATAGCATTAACATCTCCTCTCTCTCTCTTTTTTAAACCGTGCTGTTCACAATACAGTGGTACCTCAACTTACGAACATCTCCACTTGTGAATGATTCAAGTGATGAATAGCAAAAAGTTGCTTCGACTTGTGAATGGAGCTTGACTTAAGAACCAAAAAACCCAAAAAACACCCTTTCCTGCCCCTTTTTTTGAACTAAGTTCATCTTAGGTCAAAAGAAAAAACTTTTTAAAAAAATCCGCTCCCCAGTGGTAGAGGTATGGATTAACTGGCTTTGCATTAGTTCCTATGGGAACTAATGCCTCTACCTATGAACAGCGCCTTGACATACGAACGAAAAATAGCAAGTACGGATTAAATGGTTTTCAATACATTTCTATGGGAAAGTTTGCCTTGACTTATGAACTTTTCGACGTATTAATACAGTTCCAATACAGATTAAATTTGTAAATTGAGGTACCACTGTACTTTGCAAGTCTTTTAAAACCTGCTGCTTCCTGCTCCCAGCACTGTGCAAAAGAAAAATTAAAGCCAAGAAATGAGAGGGAGAGATAGGCAGAGAAATAAGGAAAAGGGAATGAATAACTAAAGGAGGGAAGAGAAAAGGGGATGAGAAGAGAAGGCTTGTATCACTCTACAGATATACCACTATTTTTGTGATTTTTGTACCACTTTTGTGATTTTTTTTAAAGGGGAAGTGTAGCCTGCTATAATGGTTCAAACAGAAAGAAATGTAGCAATGTACTTCAAAACAATGTAAATGCTCCCACTAATATATATACCATGTGACCACTAGGGAGAAAAGCATTGGTACAACAGAGGAATGAAAAGAATAGATTTAACTGGGATTGTTTTTCATGTGTGATCAAATCCTAACTTAGGTTGTTTCCAGTCTCTTTTACCAGTGATGACACATTTAACACCTTAAAAATCAATGCTGGATGATACAATCATCAGGTGATAAAAAATGCCGAAGTGTACAACCCTTCTGTATTCCTACCTACCTGTGCACAATACAAGAGTTGTTCCCCAGCATTCTTTGCAATGTTGCAACCTGATCCTTCAGCAATAATGTTCAATGATTTCACACGTAAACAAGCCTGGATATGTTCAGGATGTTTGCAGAGGTGCTCAACTCCAGTTACCAAGGCAGCTTTGTAGTGAGAGCCATGTTACAATGCAAACGACAAGAGTGGATGAAGCATGAATAATAACAATGGGGACAGAAATTGTGTTTTCATCCACTTGTTCATTTTCAGCAGTGAATGAAATCACGTTTAGTTACAAGTGAAGCCCCTCTGAGTTTTGTGGGTCTTTGCTCCTAGAAAATGCTTAAAGCAGCTCTTCCCAACTTAGCACAGTGTAGCTGCGTTGGACTGCTACTCCCGTCACCCTCATGCTAGCAGTCCAATGTGTCTGTAGTGCACCGAACTGGGGAAGGTTAGTGTAAAGAATTGTTGCTTTAAGAAGTAATCCATATATTTCTATCATGTCTTATTTGTCTTGCCTACTTTTATGATGTATTTCAGGTTCATGATGAAGAGTAAACCTGTTGTGCCTCAAATAGAGGAAACTGGAACAAGGCACCCATTCAATGCCGAAGCAGAAGAAAATAGGCACCTTTATGAATAAAGATCAAATTAATACCTACTCCTGTCCTTCCTCTATGTCTTTTTAAGTTACATTTTTACAAGCCTTGGTCTCTAGACATGGGAAAAAAAACACCTTCTCTTTTAATCAAATATTCTTGTGTTCACTGCAGCTGTGGAGATGAAGGGCACACTTGAGTGGAAAATACCTTTTGCATAATCTTTGCAAAACTCAACAGATCTCTCCGCGCCTGTGCTTTCTGTAGGGAAGACTCCAAACGCATCAATAGACATATGAGTGAAATAATCAATTATGTATGATCTAGAGTGGGTTGTTCCATTGACTGAAAACAGAAATGTGTTCAAATGTAGTAAAGCAACCCAAATGCTCTCATGTCAGCTTCTGCGGGTGATAGAACTGGTTTTGCTTGAAGAACAGAGAGGAGGAAATCCCTTCCTTCATTTCCCCTCACATCCTCTAAATCTGCTCTGGAGGATTGGGAAACCCTCCCTCCTTTTTGTCTGTAGAAAGGGACACCAGTTAAGGGCTTGTTTTAATGTTTTGCTCCATCAAGATAAATCTCTGTCTTCATGTCCCGTTGAGCTGAGCTTCAGATCTTCTCTGTGTAGGATGTTGCAAGAAAAAAAATGTGATACACATGAGCAGGCGTGTGAAATAGCAGAATGTTATGGAAGGAAATAACTCAGCAGTTGTCGAATTCATACAGAGACAGAACTACTCGAATAAGCCAAGACCTGCATGAGAAATAACAGTGAAATCATAGCTGTTCTTTGGCTCATCCATGTAACAGACTGATCACATTAGATATTATTTCCCATTTTTCTCTGTTCTTTCAATTGAAAATTCTTGGTGGGATAGGGCATAACCTGGGATTGTAGGCACATTAGTAAGCATAACAGTTGACCATCCCCAAGTACTTCTGAAGCCCTTTCAAGGGACTCCCAATTCCAAATCACAATTGGTTGCTTTGAGAAGGTGGACAAGTTTTTGTAGTATTTCTTTATTATTTGTTATTTCTTTTATATTGTGGCATCAATGGGTTGGCTATACTGTATTCCAGACCTAGTCATAATTAGAACAAGTGCATTGAAATCAACGGGACTTACGTTAATCATACGGAATTTGTCTGGGTCAGCTCAATGGGCACAACTTTTTACAGATTACAAAAAAAGCAAGTCCCTGCCCAGGGGATTCATGATCTACACAGGGGATAAAATAGGAAAGACAGGAGAAAGCAAAAGCATGGGAAATGAGTATTTTTATTTCAATTGCATGGATTGCTGTTATATATGCCATCAAGTCACTTCCAACTTGTGGTGACTCTACTAAGGTTTTCAAGGTGTGTGAGATGTTCAAGCAGTGCTTGACCACTACCACTCCCCTCAGTGAACTTCCATGGCCAAGCAGGGATTTGAACCCGGTGCTAGTCCAAAACTCTATCCACTACACTACATTGGCTCCTATCTATGCATTCATAATTACAATTGCACCAGGAGACTACTGCTTCACAGTAAATGTAGCTTTTGAGAAAGATCTGAAAAAGAAAGATATGCCCTTTATTCTTGCGCCTGCAGCAGTAAAGCAGTACAGAATCTGACAATGAGGATGAAAAACAATACTGAGAGAACAAGACCACGAGCGCTGCGGCATGAAATTATCCACAACATTATGTGCTGTAATGCCCCATAGGGCTCATCCGTACCCAGGATTTGTTAAGCTTTCCTGCACCCATTATAACTGTATTGCATTCCAATGACCATCTGATGCAAGGCTGAAGCAAGTGTCACCAGAGTCAAAGCAGGGGAGTGGAGTGGAAGAAACTCTGCTTTCCTGGTATATTTTTGTTCTGTTTTACTCCAGTTTGCTCCAATGCAAAATCTATTTGTATGGACCTCAATATTGTGCTGATGCAGGCTGGACCATGCACTGCGTGGCTGTATGTCTTTCAATGTAATTTCCTTCATGGGATTGTTTTCAGCTGAGCAACCTCCACTATTCCATGCCTTACTGCCACTTCTGTTTTATTCGTGGGGAAGTGGCAATGGTGTATATCAGCTGTTCCTGCTTTCCGCTGATCTAACTTTTTCTTAATGTTACATCTTTTGCACAATTGCACAAAAGTGAAAACTAGAAGTAAAGACAAAATGAAAATCAGAAAGCATTGCAGAGAAAACCTGAGATCTGAAAACAGAGATGGGAATATCAGTGGTTCTTTCCTTCTGCCTCTTTTTAAAATCACTTTTTCATCATAACTCAAAACTGAAAACAATTTTTTTAAAAAAAATTGAAATCATTCCCCCCCCCCCATTGATCCAGTTGCTGCAGAGAAAACCTGAAGGCTGGAAAACAGGGAAAGGAGGCTGAAGCAGGTGAGGAGAGGGTGGGGAAGACAGGCAAAGGGGGAAGACTATCTGTGTTACGAGTGAGACACTGGGGAACCATTTTGGATGTGTGTGGGCAGTGGTACCAGCAGATAGAGGAGCGAGCCCACAGAGTATCACTCTAAACACCGGTTGACCCGTCTAATAAGAACTGAACCATCCTAGCTACAAAAAAAGCAAGTAAGGGGAGGGTACAGAATCTGAAAGTCCACATGGGGTGCCAGCTCCTGCATGGCTCCCTTGTCATCTCGAAGAGAAGAAGGACTCCATCTGGGCATGGTTCTATTTGACTGCGTTCACTCCCACAGATCTCTTAAAGGAATCCTCAAATATGGTTAGGCATGTACTTCCTCCAAATTGCACCTGGCTCCATGTCCTAACCAACTTATACAATCTGTGACAAGATAACTGGAATACTGAAGACTCCTTTGTGAGCCAAACAGGGATCTTGGGTTGGGAAAAAGCACTGAACTTTGCAGTAGCTTGGGTCCTGTAAGGATTGTCTTACTGTATATTCTGGCAGTGGGTCACAGGTGGAAACTGCACTCACCCTCCCCTCCCTTCCTCTTCTGGCCAATGCAGCCTGTTGCTGATAGACCTTCCCACAGGTACAGAAGGAGACTTCCCACCAGTCAGAATGCACTGCCGAGGAAATCATGCTTACCATCCCAAAGCCAAGGACTTCACATGGCTCTGTGCTGCACAGGGAGTTAGGTTAGATGGGAGCCATGCTTGTTTCATTAAGTCTATGCCAAGATAGCGAAGGCACTGTTAGTGTTGCGCAAGTCCACGCCTTGGCAGTTTTAAATGTTCTTCATGTGTTTTGTCAAACATAACTCAGGCATGCCATCTGACAAAACAACAAGGAAGTAATTACAGCCTAACAATTTCAGGCAGTTAGAGGGTTCCGACAAAGGAGGAAACTTAGCCTTTAAACTTTGGGAAGTGCAGCCCTGTCACTGAGTTCCATTCTTTCTTGTCACTAGACAAAGTGCCATGAATGCATAATCTATTTTCCACTGAGAGGATGGGCTTTTTCATCATCCAAGCTTTGTATTAAAACATGAGCTGTGATGTTAGCTCCAGCACTCTACTAGCAGTTTGGCACTCTGGGGTTACACACCTCATGCTGACAACGCTTTCACACAGTGGCTAGGGCTTAAATGCATTGCTCTTCATAAACGACAGAGCAATTAAGGACTTTGGGAGTGAAAAATGCCCTTAACATTCCCAGAAAGACTGGGAAAAGAAGGGTCTTTTATTTCCAGCTTTTATTGGAGCCACTGTTCTTCTGTCTCCTCCTCCTCCTCCTTTGCTCATTCTCTAAAAAATTAGTCTTCAAAATGATTGATCTGTTTGCTGTTCACGGGTGGAAGATTAACTTTTAAGCTATATACACTGCACTTCCACTATAGCCAGAAATGTGATAACTGGAGAACTCAGAGTGGTGATGCATAAGCCAATGCATTTGACTGGAGGATTGCCTTTGGACCCTACACTGTTCCTTGCCAAGGTGCAACAAGAACAAGGGTATAACCCCCATCCCAACCTCCACTGTTTCCACAGCACTTTAGGATAAGCCTCTTCATGGTTGATTTACTTGTAGTGATCCACTGCCATAGACAGCTTGGGTTTTATCTGCCCACTTGCTACTGGGTGGAACTCACAGCATGGGGACTTCTGAGTAGGAGCTCCTTCTGCTCATCCTGCTTTCTTGTAGACTACAACCTCCAAGTTATAATGGAAAAGAGGATTTTTTCCCCCCTGTCTCTGCTTCTCTGTTACTGCTCTACCTCCAGATCACTCAGCATCTAAGTTTCGAAAGATACTTTGTTCCTTCTACTGTATTTGTTACAGTGTTTGAAAAGTAACCTATTGCCTTTACTTGTTACAATGTTATATGTTTAAAGGCAATGGGCTACTTTGTTGTGCATCTCCTTGGTTTTCTGTTCCTTGTGGCACTGTTCCTTGGTTTTCTGTGTATGAGGTACTCCCATATGATTTTGATGAATCTGTACATCAACATAAAACCACTTAGCATGAATCATTTGGGAGTACCCACACACACACACACACACACAAGGAGAAGTGCAACAAAGTAGCACATTGCATTTAAACATTTAACATTGTAAAAAGTAAAGACCATGGATTACATTGCAAACACTGTAACAAATAGAAGGAATAAAGTAACTTTCCAAACTTAAATGCGGAGTGATCTAGAGGTAGAGAATTAACACAGAAGAGATGTGGAAAATTACTAGTTACATTTGAAATGTGACCTCATTGTACCCTCATTATCCAGAAAACTAACTAGTAATGGATAACTTTTAGCCTTTTGTTTCTGATCATGGGGCATTCTTGGCAAAGATACTGGAGTGGCATTGCCAGTTCCTACTCCAGGTGGACTGCATTTAGTCAGAACTCTCCACTATGTCCTGTCCGTCTTGGGTGTCCCTGCACGGCATAGCCCATAGCTTTTCTGAGTTACTCAAGCCCCTTCGCCACGACAAGGCAGCAATCCATGAAGGGGAAGATCAGTCTACATCCCAATCCCAAAGCAAGGCAGTGCCAAAGAATGCTCCAACTACCGCACAATTGCAATCATTTCACACGCTAGCAAGGTTATGCTCAAAATCCTCCAAGGTAGGCTTCAGCAGTA